TAGCATGAGAAGTCAGGTACTTACTGGAAAAGTACAGGGATTTGATCATTTTACCTGCATCTTTAGCAATAGAGCATATATCCATCAGTTAAGTGCTATACATGATACACACTTGGGTGATCATGAATCTTTTGATACATAACTGACGAGGAAGATTTTTTCCCGTTGTAGGTTGCCATTTTGTTTCTGTGGTAAACCGGTTGCTAACCAAGGTTAAAGAACCCAGTCTGTCCTGCTATTCAACCCACAGCTGGGGGAGACGAGATAGATTCCTACTTTTTCCAAGGGTATTTGTGCATAAGTGAATCTAATCATATATAAGAGTTCCATTTGAGGTTGGGTGTAAGTTTAAAGTCCAATATTCTCTAAAGGCATGAAGGCTCCTCAAGGAGACATCCATCATGACTGATGGTAGTTCAGGGCCAGATCAGCAGTGATGGAATGTAACCAGTTTGATTTTTGAGGCATTGAACGTAACCAGCCAATTTTTTTCTCCACTTGAAAGTTATGGCATGTTATAATATTTAATTTTTCAAAATATGATTAAAAATGTCAACATTGCTTACTTCACTTTACTCCCAAGCTGTGAGCTAAATGCTCAGATTAATCATGAAATATTGTTATTTTTTTGAATTATGAACCTTGATATTTGGCATTAAATAACCCATAAAGGTGTTGATATGTCACTAAACAAAAACAAGCAAACCAAGTCACACTCAAGGTGAAACATATTTTAACAGACTGTACTGAAGATGGTGAACATTTTCAGGATAGAAAATGGCTTTAAATAACTATGCAATTTAATTATGAAAACTATTAACAAAACTGGGAAATGAATAACAAAAGAATTATTTTTTATATATCTGATAAGCTGAATATACAAAATAATTACCTCCACTAAGCTAGAACCACTAAGTTGGACAAGATATAAGACACATACTGATAGATACACAGGATAAAATTGCATTTATTTCATGCCATTGTTTTAATTGATTTTCAAGGTTCCAGGTAAACACACAAACTTTGAGTTTTATATATTAAATGACTATACAGTTGTAAAGATTTTCTCACAAATCGCAAATTCTAATTATGAAACTATTCATGTCTTTGTTTGACTTGAATATATTTATACACATAAACAAAATATATTCCCAGATATATGTAAATTCGCATGGCCTTGTCTTACTTCCCATGTGAGATTTCCACTCACACACACACACCGAATTTACCCACTTATAATGTCAATAAGGACTGTCAAGCAAAAACCTGTAAGGCCATTGTGCTAGTCTAGTTCATGTCTATTCCTGTATTTATAGAAAAGTAAAAAATCTGTGTAAACATGGTCATTCTCTACATGAGTAAAGGTTAACAGTCCCTGGTGAACTAGGGCTGTGGGGGTTAAGTGAAGCCTGTGTTGATAGAAGCAGCAGGGAGGTATGAACAAAAATTATACTGAAATAACCACAGGTTTTGCTTAAAGATTCCTTTTGCAGGTGAAAGAGTTAATTCTTATAGTGTAAGCACTACTAATTCACCAGAATCCACCTACCATTGCCATCAGGAGAAAGATTTAGAGCTGCTTCTTTCATATGCCCTGTCCCTTCAGCATGTGGGTGATCATGGCTCACCACATTTTCCTATTCTTTGTAGCTTAGTAAAGATTGTTTTTTCACTATCTCTCCTAATCCCTGTTCTGACAAACATTTGCACAAGCTCATTTCAATTGTCTTTTTCTGATTTTGATAAGTGTCCTGCTTTGTTTGCATTTTCTCTAAAACTTTATCATTGCTCACATGTTTTTCCCATCATACTCCTAGCATCATTCTTTCAAAACATCAAACAAGGTAAAGAATAATAAAAATACAAATTGATTTTTTTTACTTCAAAATTAATTTTGCAGCCAGAACATAAATAATTGCAATTCTCAAAATGCCAGCAATTATAATAATCACATTTCCTTTACAAATCTATAAAAGAGTTGACGTTTTTCTTCATCACATTGTCTGCACATGACTATGCATGTGCACATAAAACGTATACACAAATGGTGCATGCAAATAACATATTTGCTTGTGACATTTAATGCATACACAAGATCACACATGCATATAGATGCCCTCATTTTGATAGAGTTTGAAATAAAACATTGGAATAATAATATATTTCCTTTCCACACAGTTTGGACGACCTCTACCCTGGGCTGAACGATAAAATCATAACAGAGACTGGAAAAAAAAAAATTTTTTTGAGGATTTTATTGAACATTTCAGAAATTATTCAGTTAATGAAAAATTATTTTTTAAAGTTGTTTTTATAAATTTTGTAGAAATATTTTTAGGGTTGTCATTGAATTAAAATATATATGTACATATGTAAATGTAGATATGCATACAGTTTGAGTGAAATTGAAATGAACAACTGAGTTGCAAGAGCTAATTTCTCTTTCTGTCAGCCAACAACCCCTGGGTAACAAGAAAAAGTAGAGGCTAAAATGTGTAATTTTTGTGACTCCTTTATTTGAATGGAACATATTTTCTAATAAATGTAGTATTTTAAATAACAAACAATTTAGATTTGAAATTTTATCCTGTTGTCAGCAAAATGGCAAATACCAAACTAGTAATAATAGAAGTTGTATATGATTTATAGTAGAGCTAAATACTTTTAAAATTTATAATATCTAGAGAGAAAAAATAATTTAATATAAATTTATTTTAGTTTTTAATTAAAAAAAAAAGAAAAGTGTTTTCAAACACTAGTTAATTTTTATATCAAAATCCATTATCTCCAAAAAGTAGGAGGAAACAAGTTTTAAAAGAGATGAGATACAAAATGTGATTTCATGTAAGAGGAATTCTTATCATTTGACCATATTCCTTAGTCATTATGTCAACAGGGTATGGCTGCTAATGGAAGGTTGTTTTTCTTAAGGAATAATTTAATTTAGTAGTTGAACAAATAGACAAAGTTTAGTTTCTTTAGGAAATAAAATTTAAAATTGATAACTAAGACATCAGGGAAATTAGTAACAGTAAAATGTTGGTTCTAATTTTTGTGGACTGAAAGAATTTCAAGTTTTTAATTTAAAATTGTTTTTAATTCCTAAGAATTCTTATAAGCCCATTGAGCTGATGTGTTAAAAGGTAAACAAAATTGCTTATACAATGTATCTGGTGGGTGTTTATATATCTGTAATACGATTTTTTTCCCAGCTAGGTTTGCACTTAGTGGCTAGGAGGCCATCACCCACAAGGTCAACTCTGTACCTGGTTTCTCTAAAGAACACTGAGTGTAAAGTTTATTTTGGCATGACCTGGGGGGTGGGGGGGTTGTATTAAGTTTGTATGGTTCTGCAGTATTTGCAAATCTTCCTGGTAGGACCAGAATATTAAAGTATTCCCCTAAGCATTTGAAAGGAGAATCAGAAAAATCTACCTCCACGGATTGAATAAAGGGTTCAGTTCAAATTTCAAAGATGGCTACCAAGTAGATAGATACAATAGATACCTGAAGAAAACAGGAGAATAGAACAGCCAAAACATTGTGAATATAACAATCATGATGTGCATGCTTGTCCAAACTATATGGCATATAATAATTCAGAATCTCAAAAAATTCTGACATAATAGATGCATACACACTGCAGCAGGTGACACAGCCTAAGTAGGCAGTTGTGAATGCCAGAAAACAGGGGAGATAACTCAACAGATAATTTGAAGATGGAACAATCTATTTGTTGATAATGACATGAAATTAATGATGGAGTCAATTTGGTGCTCAGAATACCAGTTTCAACTGAAGTTTTGGGTAATTCTGATTTAAACAGAATTGCTTTAAACTATAGGCTCTCTCAAATAACTATTCTTTCTTTTACACGCAGAAAACAGCAATACTTCATTTAGCAACCTAAATACATTCCTTAAAATAAAAAAAAGCACTGTACAGAATCAGTATTAACAGAGATAAGAGCTTGATAATTTTAATATTGTTTCTTTCATCACCAACAACAAGGTGTTTTGGACATCTCTCTCCAGCGTCAAGGCTACTGTCCTCCAACTTTGCCTCTGCTGGGCAGATCATGTGTCCAGAATGCATCCCACTTGACTCCCACATATCATCCTGTTTGGAGAACTTGCCAGCAGCAAGAGGTTACCTGGAGGCCCAGAAGACCCTGAGACCTGGGAAACCATTACTGCAAACCAGCCTTCCTGGTGTAGGACCATCTGAGGGAGACCAAGACTTTCAAGTCCAACCATCAACATGAGGAGGATCTGCAATATGCTGTCAGAAGAGCCCAACTTGCCCAGTTGTGTCCACCATCCACACTCCTCTGTAGCTCCTGTTCATAACTCTTCAGGAGTAGGCTGGACATTCACAACCATCTTGGATACCACCACCAGAAGAGAAAATGGGAATAAAGAGAGAGGATAATGATCTTGATGCTCAGATGCTGATAAAGAGTACTACCATTTTTTTTACTCTATCACATGTAGTCATATCTGAGTTAATGCTTAAGATATGTTCCTAAAAATGCAGTTCTAAATGAAACAGTTCTATAGCAAAGCAGAGAGATAAAAGTTTGATGGGTGATTTTTAAAATTGATATGAGCACAAGTGAAAGTGCTAGACAACATCAGAAGTTTAACTGGTACAAAATTTTGAACCTGATGTAAATAGGAAGAATGAGGTTCAGATCCAAAAGTCCAAGGGTCATAAATCAGTCTTGCTACTCCAACATAAAAAAATACTGGGACATTTCGATCTTCAAAAATTTAAAGGCACTGTCAACCCTCATCTTCCATCTGAGAATCCTGATCTTTTAAGGCCCACTTGCTCTGAAATATTTTCTTTCACTCTTGCATCTTAGTGGCTTTATTACCTTTTGGTTGAAATGATTAAGAAACATACATAAAGCACAGTATGAAATAGTTCTGAAAAAAAATGAAAAAAAGCCTCAAACATTGATTATTGTAAATATAAAAACAACCAAGTGAACTTACTGTGCCTGGAGCATCAAAAGGTTCAACTGTGATAGAATCACTGCCAATATCCACAATACGGCCCAACTTAAAGCCATCTGTGTGGTGTGGCACCCACACTTTCTTCCCACCATCCATTGCGACCTGCAAGATTAACATTTCATATTTTAGAAAAAGATACGGAAAATACAAATTCAACCTAATAACTTAAAAAAAAATAAAACAATTCACAAGATTATTTGTATTATTTTTTCCTAATACAATAATAATCAAGTAAAAAAAAAATTCTAAATTAAAAGTGTTTTTAATTTAATAAAATAATTTTTCAAATTAAAATAGTGAAAAGCTTAAAAGAGAACAGTGGCTGTGTAGTTAAATGACATACCAGGATTTCAAATCTAACTGTCATTATGACAATCAATAAACAAAGATTTAATACAAAAAAAAAAAAAAATCTTTTCTTACAAAAATGAAAAGTTTTGTTTTCAATGAAAGACAGACCAGAGAAAAAAGAAAAACAAACTATTTTCTTCCAAAATAGTCAACAACTGACAGACTTAAAAATTAACAACTTTTGGGTACATTTTTCGGACTGTTGTCCTCATATTTATTGTCACATTCACAATGTTTTGGACATTGTACATTCTTCAGGTGATATTTGTTGGAATTTTGAACCAAACACTTTTAGTCCACGGGGTAAAAAAAAAAAAAAAAAAAATTGTAATAAAGAAAGGGTTAGTGAGACATTAGATTTTAAGTCCAAAAAAATTTACTCACAAGTGGCCCAGTGGATAAAAGCATTGACCTAAAGAGTTGTGAGTTCAATCCCTGGCAACATCGGAGAGAATGAAAACTTAGAAAGTTATCAAGATGAATTAATTAAAATGGAGATATTCAAAGGCATGGTATATGGAATTAGAACAATCTACCCCTGTGGACTAAATAAAGAGTTCAATTCAAAATTCCAACAAATATCACCTAAAGAAGGTTGGTCAGTACAATGGCTGAAATGTGAATGTGACAATAAAGATGAGGACAATGGTCCAAACAATATAAATAGATATAATACTATAGACAGACTTTTGGGTATTCCACAGATGAGATAAGCTATGTCTAGTAAATTGTTATTTGTTCATTGGAGGCACTTTGACATAGTGTAATGGTTATCAAGCTTTATGACATCTGAGTAGTGAGTTCAATTATCAATGGATGCTCCATACTTTTGGCCTCATGCCACATCTATGCTAAATCACTATAAGTAAATTACAAAATCTGAAGCTTTATGACAAAAAAGAAAAAAAAAGCAATCATTCTGGCAGAAAATAAAATTGCAACACCTAAATTATTATTATTCCTTTTTTTTGTGCCATGTCTCTTCAGCACATGAGCAGTCATGGCTCTTCCCAATATTTACCACTTTATCATCCTCTTTGTCTTTGTTCTGTCATCTAATCACACAAATTTCTTATATAGATTACTCACTGTTGACCTAGTTTTTCTTGCATCAATATGTCCTTGTGAATTTTAGATTCTCCAGATCCATTTTTTTCATGTTTCCCAGAAATTTCAACTATCTCTTTCTGATTGTAAGAATACATTTCCTTGTATTTCCTATTTTATTTTAAACCCATTCGTTGCTTGCTAGCTCTGTTCATCATATTTTTAGTAGTCATTGGTGAACAGCATCTGTCACTTCAAATCTCTTCTTCAACTGTGAAGAATTTGTCCAGCATTCATTACTATCAGGAAGATTAGATAATGCATAACACTTCAGCATTCTTTTCTTTGTTTCCAACAAAATGTTCTTATCTCTTAATATATGTTCTTTCTATGGTATGCTCAACTCAACATTCATTGGCAGAACAACATCTGTCTTTTGAAGTTTCCTCCTTCTTTGTATCAAGGTTGTTCAACATTCACTGCCATAGAGGAGATTAGGTATTACATAAAGGTTTAACAGTTTTTCTTTATTTCTTTGAAATTTTCCCATCTCTTTCAGATTTCTGTATCATATTTTGCTTCTCTTAATAGTTTGTTTAGTTTCTGGAAGGCATCTTTTTGCTATTATTATGTACCTTTTGATTTCTATAACACAATTGCTATCATCTGTTACAGTTTTGTTTTGGCAGACAATTTTGGAAAAATATCAGTACATTGATTATGTATTTCAATTTACACAAGACTAAAAGTCCAGGTAAATACATTTGGATTACAATAAATGGTCACATACACAGATTAATATTTGAAGAGGTTCTAAAATTATATATATATATATATATATATATATATATATATATATATATATACACATACATATACACACCTATACCAGATGTAACAGCATAATTGACCATCCCCCAAAATGTTTAATATTTAAAAAACACAATACTAATTGAGTTTCTTTTTCCCAGGTGTTCAGATAAGATGTTTAGCCATCTTAACACTATTTGTTGTAAGAATCATTGAAAAACCCTTGAGCTACTCAGCTACAAAGAGAACAAGTTAAAATCATTTTGTGTTAGTCTCACTGTCTTCCTGAGCAATAGTGAGAGGAAAAAGATCATTCAGGCCTTCAGCAATGGTACCAACATTCATACTCTAGCTTCCATTCAAGAACCAAGATTGGTGAATAAATTTAAAAAAGAGGGAACAGTAGAGAGGAAAACTGGATCAGGAGGTCACAACAGCTAGATGGATCATCATTTCAAGTTAGAGCTAAAGTGATCAATTAGAAAAGATCCAACTGAATCCATAACACGTTTGGCATATGAGAAAGAATTTCAGCTATGACAGTCCAGTAAGAAAAAAATTGAAAATGAAATCGTATGTAAAACCTGTGAGGCACCTTGTTATTCCAGGACAGAAAGATAGAGGGGGGTGAAGATCATCTTGAATAAGTTGGAAAATGAACCTGAAATAACATCATATATATATATATATATATATATATATATATATATATATATATATATATATATATATATATGAACTTTATTTCAATCCTTCATGGGCTTCAGATAATTAGCTATGGTTAATAAATGATGAACATATCTTTTTCATTTATGATCGATTCTTCTCTTAAGTTTGGAGAGTAATTATATATTCTTATTGCTCAATGTAGAGTTCAGTAGTTTTATAAGAACCTCAGAGAATTCCAGTAAGATATCTATAATCATTTGTAAGATACAATGCTTCAAATCTTAAGTTATCAATTGAACAATTTTTCTGTTATACACAGTGTGTGTGTGTGTGTGTGTGTGTATATATATATATATATATATATATATATATATAGTTTCACGCTCAATGAAATTTGAGCATGAAACTCCAAGTTGTACTGTCAGCATAGGGTATTATGCATATTTATTAATATATAAATAATAATATATAACTTAATAATTTATTTATATTTATCCATTTGAATATATTATATAAATCTTCTTCATCAGTTGTTTTTGTTTATCATGCAGGTGCAAGAACATCATCTACCTCAGTGGGTCTCTTTTCAGGTAACTGACTAGCTGCAAGCATGGTAGTTCTTATTGCAGTAACAGAATCTGTTGATGAGCATGCCATAATACTAGTGGAATGAAAATTTTTAATAGGATCACCTGCCCTGGCTGTCATTCCAACTCAGACTTTAAGGGCAACTGAGGACTCCGCCATTCTCGCACTTGGGCATTGTTCCTCGACATTGTCCTCATAAAGGGATGCCAAACTACACTATTTGTACATAGCTGGGACCCTAACAGGCAGCATTCAAACTTGTGTCCCCTTTTGCAGGAGAAACTACAGTCTGATACTATGAGCTTTGACTGCTCACCTTGAAGAACTTTGAACAAAGAGAACCCAAAATAATACATTATATATATGGACACACACACACACACACACACACACACACACACACACACACACACACACACACACAATCACACACACAATCACACACACATGACAACATTTGACAGCAAGGCCTTTGATTAGGAGATTGAAGGTTTTGAAGAGTGCAGAACCACCTTTTAATTGCTGCTGTTCCCATGTCCACCCTCACCCAGAGTGGTAGCACCTTTTAGGGTCTCAGCTATGGGCAAATAGTGAACCACCACCAAACAAAAATAAAAAACAGCAACATTGGTGGCATCCAGTGGAGAGACATGTATCTCACCAACCCAGCACTTGATGAAAATTGCTTTCATCTGAATACAATTAAGTTACACCTGAAAATATATTTCTACTGATATTAATAATTACAAATTACAATAAATATTTGAATTTTAGAAGTATTGAAAATGTTATGAGAATAAAACTGCTTGGGACAAAAATCTTTTATGAGAATTCAAAAACTTGTCTTGTGTGAAGATGCAAGAATGAATTTCATTTGTTTTGGGCTAGAGCTATTTGCTATGCCAAGTGAATGATTGATAAAAGTTTAAATCAATGGGAAAGAATTTTATAAATTAAACATAACTGCAAATTCAGGTTAATGTCTCTCTAGCTTGAAGACAAAAAAAAAAAAAAAAAACAGAAATGGAAATTTACAAACAATTCTGAATATTTTTTTATCCTTTTCAAACAAATGTCATGCCAAAAATAATTCTGCATAAAGGACTTAATGACAATATGCAATTGGCATAAAAATAAAACAAAGTGAAAAAGAAAAAGAAGAATTGTAAATATAGCCAAACAATTTAAAAGAAAGGAAAAGTGGAAAAAAGAAGAGGAAAAAAGAAAAGGAAAAAGAGGGAAAAAAGAGGGAAAAGAGAAAGTGGACAAAAAAAAAGAAAGAAAGAAAAAGAAAGAAAGAAAGAAAGAAAGACAAGTTCCCATTTTTGTATTAAGGTCTATTTTTGCTGCTTCTCAAAGCTGTTTTGTGGAACAGACTCCCGAGAGGATATTTACCTTATTGCAATAATCTTAATCTCCTCAAATCTTTGGTCAACCATTACCTCTCCTACATATTTATGTTCATAAAACAACCTCATTCAGTAATGATCTATGTTGAGTAGCTTGTGGACCTTGTATTGGGTGAACAATAGAGTAAAAAAAAAAAAAAGAAAAGAAAGGGTTTCATTGTCTTTTACAAGATGAATCATGCAGAGTTAACGTATATTAAAGCAAAAAGGAAGTTATTGAATGTCACA